AAACCCTGTCTTGAAAAACCAAAAAAAAGTAAGATATAATAGAAAGTGAGTTAGGTACAAGACTTTGAACTCACTAAGAGAAGAGAAGTTATGGAGTATTTTCTCTGAATTTGTCAAATGCAAATGGACTAGACATTATTGATGCATTTACTGTCTGTATATATTGTATGTAGTTATTGTACTTATTGCATATAGTTATTCCTATATTAGTTATAGCCTTTTTATTTTAGACAAAAAGGGGAAATGTAATGGTATTTCATTTGTATTTTAATAAATAAAACTTGCTTGAAGATCAGAACACAAAGCAGCCACCTAGTCAGCCATACAGGCCAGGCAGTGGTGGCACACACCTTTAATTCCAGCACCACACTAGTTAGCCACAGAGGCTGGGCAAAGGTGGTGCACACCTTTAATCCTCGCACTAGAGAGGAATATAAGGTGGATGAGACAGGAAATCGCTCTTTCAATACGAAGATTCTGTAGCGGTAAGAGCTCTCTAGTGGCTTGACTGCTTTCCTTTTCTGATATTCAGGCTGAACCCCAATATCTTTCTCTGGGTTTTTATTATTCATAATACACATGCATGCATGAGTGCATACAAATATGCTCATACATACAAGCACACACAAAGAGAAATGTTTAGAAGCCTTTTAACTGAAAAACCACTGAATTCTAGAATAAAACAGAGAGGAGACATCTTCATGGTTTAGACTCACCCACATTACTAGAGAATTGTTCAAAAAAAAAATGTTACAGTAACTTGAAAACTCCTTGGCTTTTGTTTTCCAAAGCAATGAACAGAAAAGTGTGGTGATAACAATAATTTCTTTTAAGACAAAGTCTAGGGGTTGGAGGGATGGCTCAGCAGTTAATAGTACTTGCTGCTCTTCCAGAGGACCCAAGTTTGGTTGACAGCACCCTTATCAAGTGACTCAGCATAAGCTATAACTCCAGGTCCAGGGGATGGATGCCCTCTTCTGGTCTCCATGGGCACCTGCACTCATGAGCACCCTGACACACATGTACTCATAATTAAATACATATTTCTAAAAATTTTACAGGGCCAGATTTTCTGCCACTCATATCCCTTAGTTAAAGTTTTACAATTCTGAGGAATCTAGCATTCCTTTTGATCTATGACAAGAGACAGTAACACAATTAAGATTCACTTCTTTCAGAAAACATTTTCCCTCAAAGGAAACTACCTGTGGGTAATGGTGGGGAACTCCTGTAAAAGGAGCACCAGATCAGGAATTCAATGTCAAGTCTGACTACAAAGAATTTTCTTTTCTTTTGTTTGACTAATCTACCACTCATTCCCAAAACTATTTGCGGGGCGAGGGGAAGTGCTTTTTGAAACAGGTTTCTCTGTGTAGCCCTGGCTGGCCTGGAACTCACTCTGTAGACCAAGCTGGCCTCAAACTCAGAGCTCTGCCTGCCTCTGCCTCAAATGCTGGGACTAAAGCATGTGTCACCACTGCCTGGTTTTCTCTACTTTTAACTAAGTTGCTAAGCCAGCCTCTTGTTTTGCATTTATTTATTAATTTATTCAGATGGGTAGTGCTTGTGTCACAAAGGAGAGTATGTACGCGTGCGTGTGAGCGTGTGTATGTGAGTGTGTGTGTGCATGTGTGTGTGTCTGTGCGTGATGACCAGAGGACAACTTAAGGAAGCTGGCAAAGCTGGCAGTCAGCAGAGCTCAAACTCAAAACTCAGGCTATCAGGTTTGTTAACAAATGCTTTTACCAGCTAAGTCTCCATGTCAGCATGCTCAAGCTGATCGTGAACTCATTCTGCAAATCAAGTGGGCTTTGACCTTGTGATCCTCTTGTCTCAGACTCCCAAGTAGCTAGAATTACAGGCCTGCACCACCAGGTCTGGTTTTGGTCCATTCTGTCTCATCCTCTTAAGATACCAGGTTACCTTCAGATACACAACCTACTCCAAAGCGTAACATAAAAATGCCCTTCTCTAAGCAGTTCCCAGGTTAAATGACTTGTTCCCTTTATCATCTCACTACTTGTGCCTACTTTGAAAGACACTATCACACAGTCCAATTGTTCTCCAGCCAAGTATCTGGGATTACGTTTTTATTCATACAATAACTGATAAACAAAGTGGTTGTTGCTATTTTGGAGAGTTTTCACTGCTGGTGAATAACAAAATGGATTATTGCTATTGTGGAGCATTTACATCGCCTAGAAAGATAACAAACATAAACTTATTTAGGGTAAAGCCTGGGCATATGGAGTTCCAAATTAAAGACTTCTTCCCTTTGAGGTGTATAACTCACAACATGTTTTGGGAAGAAAAAAAGAAAAATCGCCAAATCTTCTAAATTGAAATTTGATTTCATACATTTTTGAGGGTCTGCAGTATCAACTAAGGCAGAAGAATAAATCTAACGTCTCTTATGTGGTTATTATATACTGACATGAGATCTACACACATTGTCCATATATTTACCCATGGTTCCGCCCACAAGAAAACTACTTCAACCACAATTGCTTGAATTAAGTACTTCTGATGATCTTCTTGCATGCAGTCACCTACATTAAAAGTTTCTCAGAGGTTTGTGGGGTTTTTGTTTGGTAAGTTTTTTAGGATAGAATCTCAAGGCTAGCTGTAAATCCAAGGTGTCCCTCCCTCCTCTATCTCCCAAGTGCAGATCACCAGCCAACACCACACCCAGCATGTCGGTAGCCCAAAGTTGTACTTATGTCTCATTTGTAGGTCATAGTTATAAGAATAAGGTATGATCTTATCCTCACTTTTGATTACCTGGTATTCCAAGATTATTGTTATTCATGTTTTCAACTTTGGATATAATACAAATGTCAAAATATAACTCTTCAAGTATTGCTGTAAGGGCAAAAGTTTTCAAAAATAATAATGCAAAACATCTATAAATTCTTTGTCTAAATTATCAATTGCTGATGAATTAGTAATTGCCCAAACCAAGTTGAAATGTACTATGCCCACTCAATGTTTAGTTAACATTTTGCAACAAAGATCTTTGTGTAATGGCACATTTGTAAATTTACAATTGTCTCAATTTTTTAAAAAGCAGCCCGAAGAGAACTTCATCTCAAAGGACTGCATAGCTCTCTCCAAAGCATATATTTTTAACTGTCAATTCAAAAAAGAATTCAGAAAATTTTGAATTTTTTCTAAATATATATAAATTTTTATATTTTATAAAAATGATATTAAAAATGTAGATATTTTACCAAATATCTAAGTCATATGAACATGTTAAGAAACATTCACTTGCTTCAAAAATACAACAAAAATCAGGCAGTGGAATACACATGGCAGACAGAAGGTTGAGACAGGAGGATTTTGCCAAGTTCCACGGCCAGCCTTAGCCTTGGTATAATAATGAATACCATGGCCAGCTAGGCAACACAGCAATTCCCTGTCTCAGAAAACAAAAGTAAACAAACAACAAAGTTGAAATGAAAAGACATTTGCACAGATGAGACATTCAGTAATGACCACAACTCAATGAAAGGAGTAAACCATGCCCAGTTTTAATTAGATAATCATTTCTAGGCACCTGTGTTGATCTTTGTGGCTCAAACTGTTCAAACGGAATTTGACCGCAACAACTTAATCTCCATAATTAAAGACCTTTACGTAGGTCTTAAGTTTCATCTATTCCCTGTACTGGCACTTTAAACAAGCATACTGTAGTCATTCTGCAGACTTGCTACCAAAAGAAAGAGTAACATATTTGAAATCGGTTGCGTTTTTAATAGAGCGCATTTTAAATAGCATGGCCTTTTCCTTCCTTCGCCAACCTGTTCTATAAAACTAGCGTCTTAAGAACTGCAAAGCAGGTTCTAGCAAGCAAGCGTAGCAACTGATCCCAGTCTCTCTACATGATCAAATTTAGATGAAACCCTAAGGGAGAAGAAAACATAACAAGCAATTTACCTGTTCCTAGCTTGCTCTTTGGAATCCTTAAAGTGGCAGAAACTTTTTAAAATGGTTATCTTTAAAAAAAAAAAAAAAAAAAAAAACTTTAAGTTGCACTAAATTGGGGCTAATTACTTTAAAAAAAAAAAAGCTCTACTATATCCAAGACATTCTAACACTACTAAATGTTACTTAAGTCTTCCAGCAGCAAAAAGGCAAAAACTCCATTAAGTTATTTAAAGCAGATCTGTTCATATCATCGGATAACTTGTCCCATCTGTTTAGAGAGTAACCTAAGTTACTTACTTCAGACGGCTTTCAGTTAAAATGAAATTAGGTTATGTTTCACAACGCAGATGTCGCCCATAAAGAAGTGTTAGATGACTTTAGTGAATGGAAAATCTGCATCTACTGTTGCTTCGCATCCGCCGGTCTTGATTGGGTTGCTCAATGAACCAGAAGCATGCTCCCTACCAAACTCCCTGGCACCTGACCGCTCTTTCCACAACGTAGCAGCAAACAAAACGGAAAGAAAAATAAATGCAACGAAGACCCCGCCTTTTCTCCTGTGTGGCAAGAGGGCCACCGGAGGTGAGGTTGAGGGAACACCGCGACACTCTCTGCAAAGGCGGGTGCGGTCTGCAGAGAGCGGCACAGCCTCTTCAGGGGCTGTCACAGGAAAACCCCAAGCCTTGTCCTAAACCGCCCCGAGCGACAAAGCGCCAGGTCTTCCCCCGCTCGCGGGGGGCTTCCGGCGAGCCCCGCCATCGCCCTGTCAAACTTCGGGAGGGGCAGACACTCGGGACCCAGAACGCAGAGCCGCCCCCGCCCCCATCCCAGGTCCCCGCTGGGCTTTGTACCGCTGCAGACGCACCTACCGTGGGCCCCAAAACACGCCACCCCCGCCAGCCTTGCCAATCTCCCTTCTCGAAGGGACAAAGGAGCGGGGAGAGGAACTCGCGGCGCGGGGTGCCCGGGAGCGCCCACAGCCCGAGCTCGGAACATGGGACAGAGGGAGTACAGTCACCCCAAAGGCACGACTCCGCTGCCCCCCAACTCCAGGGACGAGCGCCACTCACCGATGCGGAGCCCCTGAGGAGGCGGCTCGCCGGGAGCAGGCTTCCGCGGGATCACGGTGACCCCCGAGCCCGGGGTCCTAGTGTCCGGTGGGACCCCCCAACTTCTCTCGGTGGCGGCGGCCGGCGGCAACTGCGAGCCAGCCCCGGCGGAGGGCGCAGTCTAGCTGCGGCGGGGGCTCGGCCCCGAGCGGCGCGGGAACTCGGGTCCCTCGGCCCCGCGGGCCAGGGCGGGCCCCCCGTTTCCTCCCCTACCGCCGGCGGCTCTCGGCAGCGGCCAAGTCGAACGCCTCTGCCGCTCGGGCTGCCGCTGCCGCTACCACCGCCGCCCAGCTGGGAGCGCGTCGCAGCCGAATGCTGTCATCCGCCTTGACGCCGCCTCGCTGGCCGCCACGAGCCGCCACGAGCCTCCACCTTCCAGGCCCCGCCCCCTGTCGCCCCGGCCCCGCCCCCCAGCTCCAGCTCCCGACCCCGCCCCCTTCCCGTCACGTGACGCCGCAAGGGGGCGGGCCTGGGTATCGGCTGCGGACTCGGAGCCTAGTGCCGTGGCTGCAGCCCGGACCCTGGCTGTGACAGCGAGCAGTCGTGGTCACCTCGCCTCCTGGTGCTCCTCGGGAGGTCCTGACGTCGATGGCCCGGTGTCCGCTCGTCCCCTGAGCGAGGCCTTGGGGAAGGTCGGAACCCGGCCGGCTTCACCTGAGCCGGTCAGGACCCCGCCTCCCGACCTCCTTCCTGCTCGGTCCAGATCCTCAGCCAGCCCTAGAGGAGGCTTCAAGTCGAAATTGTGGCTTGAAGAGCGTTTGGGTACTGCTGCTTCCTGTTCGCAGCAGAACGCTCACTGTGGCGTCTCACTTGCTGTGTTCCTCTGAAAAGAAAGGTTTGAAACGTGGATTTCGGTCACGCTGGGATGAAAATAGCCTAGCAGGCTTTTTTTTTTTTTTCTTCCTAGTCATGTTCAGGATCCTCGTGCCAGGTTTTACAGTCATTAAGTTTTACAGTGAGATGTGCGACAGTTTAAACAAATACGTGGCAGTTTGGCAATGCCTCTCAATTTGAAAATAAAGCCTGAGTTTATTTTTAAGTACCTCAACTCGTACACTTCATCTTTGGCTTTTTTTTTTTTTTTTTAACCATGACCCCAGGAACCTCTCTCCATCCAGTTGATGAGAGAACGGGGTAGAGGTGGTCATCCGAGGAAAGCAAGCTACAGTACAGAAGAACAGAAAGAGGACAGTCAGCCCCGCTAACAAAGCAGTTTTCTGTGATAAAAATTCCTTGCTTTCCTTTCTACTTTAGAACTGTGTGTTTTGTTTTAAATTTACACAATTTCCATTACATTTCCTGGACAGGAAATCCGATGACATTTGGATCATCTTCAAATGATACTTCCGAATAAATAGGCCACAGAGTTTGGCCTGTTATTGATCTACCTCATAGCGGTAGAATCAAAGACTTGCCTGGTCATTACGCTGCCCAAGGAAAGAGAAACTGACTGCCCAGTTAAATTATGCCAGGCCCCTATCTTTCAGACACGTCTTGAATCAGATATCTTTCAACATTTGAAAAACACCGAGACTGCCAGACTGCCGTGAAGTGCTGTTCCAGTGGGGGAATGTCATGTGAGGAAGTTTGTCAGCAGATCGGAACGTGTCGCCTGTTATCGGAAGCAGTGTGGTTTCGTTGGTGGTGGTGGTGGTGGTGGTTTTGGTTATTTGTTTTTGTTTTTTTTTTTTTTTCTGTCAGACTGTAACCGAAAAACCGGTTTTCATTTTTTTCTAATGAATTAGGTCTTAATAGAATATAATTTAGAAGATAAGAATGCATCATATCTAAACTGAGCGAAGATTAGTTTGTGGGAGGCCAGAGAGATGAGCTCAGCAGTTGAGAAGGCTTGTTGTTCTTGCAGAACCTGGTTTCTCTCTCTTCCCAGCACCCACATGATAGCCCACACCCATCAGTTCTAGGGAATCCCACCTCTTCTGACCACCCCAGTCTCTGGGCATGTGCAAACAAGTAAAGCATTCATACACATAAAATAAATCCTTTTTAAAAATTACTTTCTGAGTAGCTGGGCGTGGTAGGCCATGTCTGTAGTCTGCGCTCGGAAGGCAGATGCAGATCTCTGTGAGTTCAAAGCCAGACTATTCTACGTAGCAAGTTCCAGAACTACGTAGACTCATAGAGACCCCAGTATTTAAAATAAATGAATAATCAGGGTAAAAGTGTGTTTCCTGCTGTTATTTAAATTGCATTTCTTACTGTGAACTGCAGTCAGATATATTTAAACAATGCTCCTAAAATATTAGATAACGAGAAAAATAAACGATCCCAGCTGTTTCTTTGTGCTCTGCTTTTTACTCCGGTAATTGAGACAAGAGGCAACTTGCTTTGCATAATTCTTCCCTGCCTCCGCCCCAGTTTCTCCAGTTGGCCTTTGAAAATCTGACCATTTGTTGCAGTGGAAAACAGGATCTGAGAAGCAAGGAGACCCACATTATAGACATAGCTAATTAGATATGTGTCAAGATAAATTACTCGCTGCATTTCCAGCTCTGAAAAACAAGCGAGGCGTTGGACTACATGCTCATTAAGGACTGATAACTTTGTTTTTTCCCTCAATGGATGATGCTTACGTGAGAAACAAGCCATCAGTATACAAAGGATTATACAGATTCTTGACAGACGAGTAGAAATTTTTTAGCATCACTTTAAAAAAAAAAAAAAGAGTATGGGAAAGGAACTAGGAGGCTCTCAAAATGGCCCAAGTTTGATCACTGGAACCTACAAGGGGAAAACCATCACCTACAAGTTGTTTTACACACATACAGGTGTGCACCACATACACACAATAAATAAACATGATTTTGGGGGGGGGGTTTCGAGACAGGGTTTCTTTGTGTAACAGCCCCAGATGCCCTGGAACTAGCTTTTGAACTCACAGAGATTCCTCTACCTTTGCCTCCCGAGTGCTGGGATTAAAGGCATGTGACACCACTATCCGGCTAAAAAAAATCTTTTAAAGCAAAAGATGTGACGTAAGAGAAGAGCACTTGCTGCTCTTCCAGGGGACCTAAGACCAGTTCCCAGCACCTGTATTAAGTAGCTTGCAACTCCAGCTCCAGAAGATGGGATGTCCCCCTTCTGGGCTCCATGGGTACCTCTACTCACAAGCACATGCGTACTCAAGTACACATAACTGAACATGACATCTTTTCTGTTTTTTAATTTAATGCAGGTAGTTGTAAGTCAGGAGTTACTGGTAAACAAATGTAAGTGCTAATATCCGTCATGAATAACTAGTGGTTTTGACATCCATCACAGATGATTAGAGCAAAATATCGATGCATAGCCAGACCTGGCTCCTCAGGCTTGTAGTCTTAGCGACCCAGAAAGCTGAAGCGGAAGGATTGAACGTTCAAACCCAGCCCAGTCTAGAGTATCATAGTTTCTGTCAGCTTGACACAAATCTAGACATACCTGGGGGAAATGAGTCTCGAGGAACTGCTCCTATCAGATTGAGCGATGGACGTGTCTATGGGGCAGTTTCTAGCCTGCTTATGGACATAGGAGGACCCAGCCTACTGTGGATGGTGCTGTTCCCAAGAAGATGGGCCTGGATTGTACAAGAAAAGCATCTGAATGTGAGCCTGAGGAGAAGCCAGGAAGCAACATTACTCCATGAGCTCTGCTTCAGTTCCCTCCTCCAGTTTTCCACCTTGAGCTCCTGCCTTGGATTCCCTTAGTGATGGGCTGTGAGCAGTAAGCCAAATAAACATATTCTTTCATCCCCAAGTTAGTTTTGTTTTGTTTTGGTCAAAGATTTATCACAGCAACAGAGAGTAAATTAGATAAGAAATTGGTACCAGGAACATGGGCTATTTCTGCAATTAACCTGACCCATGGTTTTAGGAAGTTTAAAGAAATTTGGACTAAAAATCATTGGTGAGTACCCAGAGCTTGGTAAACTTATAAAAGATTACAAGATAAGAAAACTGGTAGAAAGCCAGGTGGTGGTGGCGCATGCCTTTAATCCCAGCACTTGTGAGGCAGAGGCAGGCAGATCTCTGTGAGTTCGAGGCCAGCCTGGTCTACAGAGCTAGTTCCAGGACAGGCTCCAAAGCCACAGAGAAACCCTGTCTCGAAAA